GCGCAGTTACAACGCTCACCTGACGACGTCCATCTTCCGTGTCAAGGACCTCGACTGGGCCGACCTCGGAAAGGCGTGGGGTCTGCTCCGTCTGCCGCGCATGCCCGAGACGAAGAACTGGGATGGAGACAAGTGGCTCGGCAACGAGGACTTTGACTGGGAGAATTTCACATACCAGGACAAAACGAGAGAGGCGGCACGACTCGCAGCGGCTGAGGCGGAACGGAACGGCGAGAAGGCTGCTGCCGCGGACGAGGTGAAGCGCAAGCGCAAGACCAACGAGGCGTGGAGCAAGCAGACGGAGAGGGACGACGTGCGGGTGGAGCGCCGCGATAAGAAGAGACGCAAGAGGGAGGCTGAGCGGATGTCGACCATGACGGAGGACGAGAAGATCAAGGCGATGGAGCTGAATGAGATGATTGCAGAGATTAGGAAAAAGAGCCAGGCCAAGGCGGCGGCCGGCGGGAAGGACGATGAGTTTGAGGGGTTCGATGATTAAAAGCGTCTGTTGTAATACTATCTACCAATGTCGTTGAATTCCTGTCCGGGGGGTTTCCGGCTCAAGCTAGGTGGAGGATGTGGAGGCGAACCCCCCGCGAACGCTTTTTTGGCCTCACACGATACAATCCGACGAGACCCTCTCTTACGTCCGCCCCATTCTGTCTCCGTCCTCGTCGCCGACCCTTTCGGCTTTGGGTTCTATGTTTCCACAGCGGAGTCGAGGCCAAATAAAATTCATACAAGAATGAGTCACTCTCCACACCGGCCCTTCTTGAACAGAGACAGTGAGATCCATTGTCATCAAGCAGCACAAACACAAGCACAATAGCTCAGGGGTAGAGCGCTGGGCTCATAACCCAGAGGTCCCTGGATCGAAACCAGGTTGTGCTATCAAATCTTTTGTTTTCTGAAGTCAGGATTGACTCGATGTATTCCAGGTACATGTCCATGTTTCTCTTTCGCCATGGTCCCCTATATTTACCGTGGTCTATGGAATCGCCGCTTATGCATGGTTCAAATACAACACAACGATGACCAGCGAATGTGAACCACGTTCCTCACATCTGGCTCTTGCGGAGAAGATGTTTCCACATCTCTCAAGACATCTTGCACCTTGTTTCCCATGAGTTAAGTATGATGGCCTCCCAAATGATATGAGGTATAGTCGCTAGTCGGCCAGCCCTGCCGAGATGCGGACTCATGGCTGGCGGCCCTGTTCATTTCCGTTTCGAAAGCAATGATCGTCCGAGATCTCCAGATAGAGCCAGGTACTGGCCAAGGGGATTGCTCGTGATTGGATAGTTGATTCGGAGTGATTGTGTGACGTCGATGAAATGGAGGTACATCTGGTTTGTCTCATATTAGTATAAATCTCGTCGAAGTCCTGGATCGATGCCGTCCTTACCCTGCCTCGCCCTTTGTTTTCTGCAAATGCAAGATCTCCAGAGAATGAAACATGTAGGTGGCAAGCCCACGATTAGGGCCACGATAGCAATGATGGCTTCCAGGGTCATCTCCATAGCTTATGGTCTGTAAAATTTCTAATCTGCAAAGCTGAGTACCAGAATGCAGAAAATTGTGCTGAAACCGTGACTAAGTAAAGAAGATAAAAAAGAGCTGGGGGGAATTGGTCAGTCTGCTCAGAGAAAGACGCCGTGAAGTTCGATCCGCTGTGTCTTTTATATGCGAAACCACGGTCCACAATGGCCGTGATCAGAAGGTGGAAGAGCAGTCCCAATGTCTACCGCAAGCTAGACTTTCAGACTTCGGTTTCGACGAATAAAACACTCCTCCACATTTGAGGCTGTGACTATTGTCAGGCATATCAGTGCTTCCGAGAGTACACATGCCGCATATGTATGCATCCGCCACTGGCACCAAGATTTCAGACTGCGGCCTGAACCAATGAGATTCCGGGTGTTCTATAGACCTCATCTCGACGAAAAGACTCAAACATTCCAGCTTAGCATCTTTTGCGAGTAACCACGAGATATCGAACAAACAAACCAAGGATGAAATTCAGATACCAGCTTCGCCCAATCGAATGCTGGCGTATGGGCCTTGGCCAAGCCCCTGTTGGTGGACTGTACCGGTGCATATGTGCGGCGCGAGCCGGTCACTCATTGTACATAAGTGAGCTTTCAGACTTCGGCCATGACCAATAGGGGCATACAGATGCTCACAGCTTCGTTTTATTTTCAGACATCGGCCTCGGCCAATCACAATAAGGCTCAGAAGCAGCCATCCTGATTTCCCAGCCATAACACAAGGCTCTCCCTCTTTCCCACTTCCCTCCTCTCTCTCATTTTTGCATTTTATATGCTGCCATGCGTGCTGAAGTAAACCAACCCAGGCACTGAAATTCCCGCTTACCAAAGCCCAGAAGCGCGGGTTTTCCTAGCAAAATCATCGTTCAATTACGACTTGCGCCCAGGATGACATCCTCGAGGAAACGTCATTCGGACGAAGAGTGGCTCAAACATCGGGCGATCGTTCAGCGTATGTTCATCCAAGAGGACAAATCATTAAGCGAGATCAAGCAGAGACTCGAAGACCAATACTTCCAAGTAACGTTAGTGGAGACAGCAGTTTCCATACTTCACAGCTGCTTACACATCTCAGGAAATCGCAGCTCGAGTACAAGCTGAAGGTCTGGGGTTTTCGCAGAAGAACCCCCAAGAATACAGGCAATACATTGTGGCAATTTGTCGATGATCGTCTCACCAAGCGGGAGAAGCAGGGCAAACTCAGCGAAGTCATCCATGATGGTAAAATCATTGAGCCGGCTAAGCTTAGAAAAGAAAGAGGGCGGTACAAGCGGACTTCTTTGTCGTGCTACCAGCGAGGTAGGAATTTCTTGGCTCATCACCTCCATGTTTACTAACATTCTCAAATTACAGGGCATTTGAGTCCCCAGACACCTTCAGAGCTCAAAATTTCGGTCTGTACGCCAGCATCACACCCTATGATGTTTTCGTGGTCGAAAAGTCTTCCCTGGCTTCAATTTCAGATCAGTCATCCAGAGAGTAAGGAAATTCAGGACCAACAAGATGTTCACTTCGTCAAAAGTTCTCATAGTATTACAAGCCTGCGGTGAGCGCATTAGAACTGGGACTGGTCGTAATCTTACAAATTCCCTTGGAGAATTCGACGTGAGGGGGATCCTGGATATGCCAGAGTTGCACAACAAGTCAAATGTCTCCCATCTTGCCGCTCAACTTGGTTCGGTAATGCCCGAGGCAGAAGAGGGCGAGAATACCGGTCTCGCACAAGCTCTACTTAGAGCACCGAGCCAAGCGACAATACAGGGACACCAAAAACTTCTTATCTACCGGATCTCTAACAATATGGGGGATGATTGGAGGAACGGTTTCGACCTCTCCCGTTGGATTTGGACTGTCAATGTGCTCGAAAACTCTGGCATCATGAATTTGAAGCTTGCAACTGGAAAGACATCAGGCCCAACAATCAACGCATTTGTTGAGAAGCTGTTTCAGAACGCATTCACTGCAATGTCTAACTTATTTTTCTTTGACAATTACACTGAGAATTTTCAGCTAGCAAGAGCCAAGAAAGTCGTGCAGTGGTTGCTGTCCTTGGGGCAATCTCCGGACACACCGATCAAGCTCCTCGACGAGGTGGCGTCCACACCACTGAAAATGGCAGTGAAGATGGGTGATTCACGACTTGCACTTGAGCTGTTAGATGCTGGTGCCGAACCAAGCTTCTCATACGAGGGGTTGAGAGACTTTCTGACCCATTCAAAGTGTCATATGCCATTTTACGATGACGATGACCACGACCCCGCGATGATAGAAGTGTTCAGACGCCTTGTCGATTCCGGCCTCTCCCAGGGCGAAAAAGTGGATGGAAGTTGGCCTTCCTCTCTGATGGAAGTTGCTCAATACGGTTCTATTCCTCTGGTTAAATTACTGATCCAACATGGGGCCAACGTTTTGTACTGCTCATCTGGTGGCAATCAGGGCTTCGAGTTTGCTTATCCCAGGAAAGTAAGTGTACTCGGTTGCGCAGCTGGCATCGAAAGAGAGGCAAAGGCAATGGAAACTATTGCCTATCTACTGGATCATGCGCAGTCAATCTACCCATATATACCACGAGCAGATTTCATCCAGTTCGACGTGGTCATGAGTGCTGCGTCGAGAGGTCACCTTGCTGTGCTCAAGTTGTTCCACAGCATTGGCTACGACGTCGTTGGTGCTGAGAGCGAAGGAATAACTGCCCTGCACATAGCAGCAGTATTTTCATTCCCTAGAGTCTGTGAATGGCTTCTCAATCATGGCGCTTCGGTTCACGGTTCCAGCCTATCGAACCAGGCTCCGACTCCTCTGATCTTGGCGGCCTTGGAACAACACTATGCAGTAGTCCAGCTTCTACATCGTCACGGGGCTGATCTTAACAGAAGCTTTGCTATCAAAAGCGACAGCTATTTCTGGATGGCATGCTGCAAAAGCCGTCGCAGCAAAGCATTGGGAGCTGGCCTTCGCCGATTGGGCAACTGCCTCATGAATCCAGCAGGCGCTGCAATCTTAAGGGACCACTGGGACCACTGGGACAACGCGATATACGGATATTTAGCCCAAAATGGGGCCAGATTGCCTGAATGGGCCGTTTATTACGGCGCTCTCGACGCTCGCAAGTTTGGTCTCATCGAGGTTGCTTTGAACCAATATGCCGATGTCAACTGGCTGGGTCCTGACGGGAAAACACCGCTACAAGCCGTGATGTCATCGTCACAAGAGACTCAAGTCATGTTCGGAGAGATATGGAATATAAGGCCTGCGGGAAGAGACTTCAGAGCTGAAGGTGTCCGTATCTGTTTCGCACTGTTGAGTGCTGGCGCTCGGATGACGGGCAGCGAGGCTCAACTGGCAATGGGCCTCAACAACTGCAGTCTCGTTGAAGCTATCATATGGCACTGCTCTGAAATTCATTGCCAAGTAGAGGGTGCCGTCTCATTGCTTGAAGCGGCATTTCTCTCTGGATTCGATAACATGGTGCAATACACGTTTGAGAAGACTCCAGGAGCGTACGACGGTGGCGCTCTTTGTGCTGCTGTTCTATTCGCGTCAGAGCATAAATGCACAAAATGGCTCGATAGGCTTTTACAAAATCGTTCTCAGTCTGAAAATACCTCAGATGTTGAAGGTACAGCCGTGGGCCTTGCTGCTTGGTGCGCAGAAATGAAAGTGCTGAAAACACTTTGGAGCAAATTCGGGACACCGCTTGCAGCACTTTATCCCGCCGGCATTGATGGTCACTTATCCTATGTTTCCGACTCAGTTAAAACAGCTTTGTCAGAGTGGAGAACCGGAAATCGAAAGTTGCCTTTCTGGCATGACAACAACTCCCATGTCACTGAACCGCTCTCGTTCATATTGCAGTCATCGAGCTGGACCTCGAAGCTGCGAGAACTTGGGTATCGCCCAGAGGATCACTTGATAGATCTTTCCGTTGATCTCAATAGTGAGGACGTCCTTCAAATTCAACTCTCCTCGCGTGGGCAAGAACAAGACCATTCGCTGTTTTCTGCCGTCCATGATAGAGATCTGGTACGCGTGAAGGCTTTTCTAGATACAGGGAAAGACGTCAACTGGTCACTCTATATGCATATCTTCTGTGGGAGAAGCTTGTTACAGCAGGCTGTAGAAAATGGAGACCTCGACATGATCGATTTGCTCCTCAAAGCAGGCGCCGAGGTCAACGCGCCAGCAGCGAGTGATTGCGGTGCCACAGCTCTACAGCTAGCAGCCATTATGGGAAGGGTCGGGATCGCAAAGATGTTAATCGAAAAGGGGGCCGACGTCAACGCACCGCGCGCAGAACGAGGCGGTAGAACTGCCTTGGAAGGTGCGGCCGAACACGGTAGGATAGACATGATTCAGCTACTCTTGAGTGAGAGAGCAGACACGGGTGGAAGAGGTCGTTTGCAATACATGCTAGCAATCAAATTTGCAGAGGAGCAGGCGCATTGGGTCGCGGCAAACATGCTGAGAGAATACCGCGATTGGACCGCCGATGATGACGAGTTGTGGAGCGTGTTGAATGGCCATCCGAAAGATTGAAATCAGCTCTTGGACGAAATCATCTTCGGTAACGAGGAACGAATCGATGTTGAAGATGAAGTCGACACACCGGGAACGGCATACGATGATTCCAGTCTGAAAGATGCCGTACAAGAACTGATATAAACAGAGTCTACAACAAGTTGGATGGAACATACGACTGGCGACAAGTGGCCATTCACAATCGATCCCTTAGAGTAGGCGACGTGTCAGGGGCCTAGGTTTTGGACCGTCAGCGAATTTTGCGAAGGAGTTGCTGCATTTATGTCATTTGCCATTTATATACTGATTATACAACTGGGTTTCATGTACTTAAGTTCGGCTCAAGTAACAGCTTGGTAGCTTCTCATGTTCTTAAGAATTAGGAGCTTTCAAAAAGCCCTACGTGAGCTCGTCACGTTCCGAAAATGGTGACGAGTGTAGTAGTATCCAACTTGGCAAACATTGATACTGTTCCGTTGACATTCGATGTTACTCTTTAACAAGTCGCGCCGAGTGCGAAACTTGATACTAGTGAAAGAGAGTTGGAATTCTATGTGTAAGGCTAACTCATTAGGGATCGGGTACCATATCATACGCGACAGCTCTTCAAAGCGTGATGATCAACCTCAAGATAGGAACGATGAGGTGCTCACAATTGCAACAATTACGCGCTATGAAGAGTATGTTCCTTGCGAACGATTCAGCCATATATCAAGGATTCTAGATCTAGCAGCTATAGGATATGCTAAGTTGAAAACGAAATTCTGTACAACAGCCGCCTCAAGACCGGAGCACATATCCCGGCGACCAACTCACTCGAAGCATGTCCTTCACAAGGGGAAACAAACCAGACGATCCCGACACTTCATACACAGGCCAACCACCGCGCCGCCAAAAGCCAACGCACCTCAAAGATCTTGACCTTATATAACAGCCTCACGGACAACATCCCGCCAATACTTCGGCAATTACACCCCACAATCACCCCTCCCAGCCCAGCAATTCTGCACATCACGCATCCATAAACTAAAGCAAGGTGATCAATACTCGCTCTAACTATGCGACTATCCAGGTAAACCAACCTTTGAATTACCTGCACCCTCGCCGATCACATCTCAATCCAGACCAGATGCAGTCTACAAAGTCTGCAACTACCTCTGCCTTAGGAAGTCTCCTTCTCGCCTTCCCAATCGGGACCGAGAGAACCTGTGACGTTTAAACTTGCTCAGACGTCGCAGCGAATGATGAAAGAGGAAGAAACGCTCCGCAGTGGGATGATGGGGTTCATGTTTCCTCCTTTGCTTACACTACTGTATCAATTTTGTCCAACGTGACTCTGAGACAATGGCGGTGAAGCTGCAAGAGAGAGAGAGAGAGACAACGGGGTTTCCCGCAAGGCGCGCTTAATACCCTTCTTCGCAATAGACTCAACCTTAATTCGTGCAGACTGCAGTTTGCAGAAGCGCGCCCCTCTATTTTCCTCTCAAAACTCCTCTCGTCCGCCAGTCCTCGTCTAGTCCATCTTGTCTCTTTTCGAAAAGACCTGCATGGAATTCAGACAAAAACGAGGTAGACAAGTATAGTGCGCAGTGGAGCCCCGGCGGGGTCCAGGTCAGTGTACTCCGTAGTCCACCGTCAAACACGCCTGCAATATCTAGCCTGCATATGTGATGCCGGTAAATACCTGCAATGAGCAGGCTGTTGAGACAAGGCGGTACGGTGGGAACAAGAGGGCCGCTGTCAAAGCGGGAGGGAAGCGGGTGGATTGAGACAGGCGACCTCTTCCCCCTCCCCATCACATTACATCGCTTGCGGTATTCTCGCGTACGGAATAGACTGGACCAAATTGTTGATGCCCATGGCCTTAACAGGGCGATCTGCCGAATATAGCTCTAAAGCGCATCCACTCCAGTCTTCCGCCTCACCAGTCGCCCGCTGTTTGACCGGTATTCTTGTTTTGAGTTCATGGCGGCGGGGTCTATAAACCAGCCAGCTTATTAACTCATGGGCAGCAAGGCAGTCAAAAAAAAAAAAAAAAAAAAAAAAAAGGCCGCGGGCAATGAATGGGCATTGGCATATACCCTCAATCAATCCCACGGCGGCAGATTGACGCATCCCCCATGCCTCAGCTCGCGTGGTCCGCTGGGCCTCTCTTCACTTCCTTGTCTTGGCAGCAGTTGGTGTGCCACGATCCATCCCACTGCAACCCCAGGACCAGAGAGGGGAGGAGAGAACTGGGCGAACTGCCCACCACTTTTTCTGCCCATGGGTTGCAACAGTCGCCGTGCCGGTGGATCTCGAACCCAAAGGTGCGATGAGGTTTATTAACACCGGCTCTATAAGATCTTGACAATAAGTCATCGCGACAGATGTTTGACAAAGTGACGAGATAACGAAAGACGGTGTGACGGGCGAGGTTGCACCGTCGCATACACGTGCGATTACCCCGCGGCCCGTTGACACTTGATGAACCCCCAGAACCCTGGCGAACGAGAGGGCGGGTGTTGCGTCTACTGCAACCACTCAGCGGGATACTCGCCGGGGGTCCTATATGTCCAATATGCCCTTGATATGCTATCGGAAGCAGTATCGCTGAGAAATACTGGGAGAACATACTGCCGCGCTCGTTGAACCGGAGACTGGCCGAGGCACGTCTGTAAACTCATAGAGGGTGCCGAAGACCGACCAGATGACAAACGCGACGAGAGTGTCGTTTCTGGTCAGCGTACTGCGTCGCCGCGCCGACGCGCGGAACCAACGCCTTGTGCCTGTGATGGTGCGTGCTGCAACTGTTAGTAGCGCTCGGTGGAGCAAGATATCTGTTTAGTTACCGTTTGTGGCCCCGACTTGAAATGGTTTCTGGCAGTGCTGAAAGAGAATGAGGCACTGCTCAGAGGCGAGACCGGGGGCTAACCCAAGAAGCTGGGTTGGCGGAGTCTCGAGCTCATCGACATCCGAAGAGCCATGGCAGGGCCGCCCGGTGCCGGTGGTTACAGCTGGTCAATGCTGATTTTTGGATGAGCAAGCATTGGCAAGCATCACGCACTCGGTGGCCTCGGAGAGGGTTTGTTGCGTTTCCCGCCGTAGAGAAGGGGACCGGATGATTTGCTCTCGGACGATTGCTTGCCGGGGGAATCGAGATGGGGTGACACTCGTTTGCAACGTGCAGATAATCGAACAGGCCCTTGGCCCGATTTCCTTAGGGTGAAAGGGGGCCAATATGTGCCAGTTGTATGACTGAAGGGGGGTTTGCGGCGGCATAGTATGATGGTGATGCCAAAAAATCCAGAAGGCGGACGGCATGATGGTGTCAGGCCCCCGGAAGAGAGTCATTGGTCAATGCCGAGACCCTAGAGTGGGGGTTTATCCTCGAAGACCAGCCGGTTCACAAAGTAACAAGGTGGTTGATTATGATTGATTATGCCTTTTCGTAGGCCTTCAAGGCATGTCCCAGTGGTGCCCGAACCCTTCATCCTTATTCAGGCCGCGCGGGTCGAGAGAGCAAACGCAAGAGAGCTATGAATGGTCTATGCATTGCTTCCGTGCGGACAGTGTGCGTGGTGTAAGTCATGATTCTTTCTGGCCTGGCAACGACATCCAGGCAAGGCTTTGGAGGCCGCGGAACTCCGGATCTACAAGCCGGACTCGGCGGCCAGGGCACACTTGAGATGTGATGGCCAAGAGATGGTATGTGCGATAGGAGGGTCACTAAGGTTATTAGTGAGGTTATCTGCTTTTCTCTATTGCAGATCGCGGGCAACTTGCCAAACAACCAACTCTCCATCCTTGTCCGCAGACACCGCAGTAACAAACTCGAATCTACAGTCTGAATACTGCTGGATCAGGCTGACGTGGGCCAGAGGCGCATGGTGGACTGATTCGGCCGAGGAAAGATGACTGCCGAACAGACGCAGGCCAAAGATCAGCCGAACTAGATGTTACTGTTCCCCATCGGTGCTGTCGATGCTTGACTCGTAAAAATCGCCGCTGGAAGACTTCCGGACCAGTGACTCGGGAGCCACAGTACCTAAATAGGATCACTAGAGATGCGGGTTCCAACGCTCTGGGCCCGCACATTGTGGAATATGTATCAGTACGGAGTACCGATACTCACTACTCAGGATCGCACAGGTATAGTCGTGTGCGATTGCGTGGATTCCGATTCTGCGGAGGCGCACTGGCGTATTATTTTGTTCCCATAGTTGGGCGTTGGGCATTGAGATCAGCAGTACAAAGCCTCTACCGCGAGTCACTTACAGTCCAGCACGGCTTGTCCGAGCCTTCCCCTCGATACCAGAATCTGGAGGAAGAAGCAAAATAGAGCTGAAGACTGTGTCTTACGATCCACCGGAGACCGGGTGTAACATGTTCAGCATGGCGGCGTGGTCAGCTGACCAGTTGCCTTCTCGTTGGATCGCCTTGTTGGTTTGACTTTCGTATCTTTCTTGGTGTTGTTTGCTTATTCTCCTCACTACTGCTACTGTTGGAGACGAGGGACAGGCCCAACGGGTTTGGCACCGGAACGAGATTTTGACACGACATCCGATCATGCCATTGAGTTCCGATACGTGCCTGCAACGGGGCATTTCCTGAATGATGATTTATGGGGGGTTATAGACTGCAAGGTCCATCTTGGCTTCGTCTCTGAAGTCGAAACCGAGCCTGTGAATAACGGCCGCTGTGTCTTTTTCTTCATCATTTTTTCGTTGCTGTTGCTAGGGCACAAGCCTTTGGTGCCGCGAGCGGCGCCGTTAGCTCCCTTCAATTTTCACTTCTAGACCGAGCCACGAAACGGCTTGCGGAGACTTGCTAAAATAAGCCATGGAAGAATTCCTTTGCTTGGAACCGATAAGCTTGAAGCCTGCCCAGTGTGTAGTCCCGACTCCCGATGTGTAGGCCATTAAGTGCAATGTACTCCGTACGGGGCACGAGTAAAAGGTATTGATTGTGGACGCAGACTTGCAAGCATTGAGTGGCGTGCAGCCGTCGCCCCTTCCTTTGGCGCCTTTCGACGGACGTTTGCGAATACTTTTGACTCTATTTCCCATATCTCATCGTCCTGGCTCGATGCTCAAACATGAATGGCGTTTCGCAACTGTCTTGTTTCCTGTGATCTGGGCCGGCTTCAAGCCTCTATCGGCGAGGTCGATTAAGTGGTGGAAGAGAAGAGGGACACAAGGTTCTGCTGCTCTGGCGGGGATTCTGGTGGCTGTCGCCGCTGGCCCCTGCAACAATTTCCGATCCTAGTCGCTGGTCATTTAACAGTGTGATATTAAAGGAATCCCGGCGGGCGGGGACGCCGCGTCTTTGATTGTCGACAATGTCATCGTATCTGCGAATTGCGAACGCAACGCGTGTGTTTACTTGTTGACTTTGAATCTTCTACCTGGGTTCGAGAACACCATTTTTGCGATGGTGGTACAGCATCATGGATCACCCTTCCAGGCGTCTCCTTTGAAGCGCGTCGTGGCTAGTGCTTCACCAAGGTAGACTATCCCTGCAGCTGTCTGTCCAGTGTCAGGCAATTTAGCGAAGACGGGAGACATCGTGCTAGCTCGTGCTGCCAACAGTGATCCGTAACTCTGGCAAACAAAGCAGACCAGACGGGACTTGTCTTTCGTCATGGCCTTGGTAGTTGGAACGAACTTTTTCTTCAGATGCAGTTGGAATAGGAGGTAACCGTTAGGGGGTGTGGATTTCCTGCTGCAAAAGTGCGTCAAGTTGCCAGTTGAACTGCACTTGTCATTGACCGAAAACCAGGGAAAAGGTTTGCTAAGCGGCCCCGTTGCTGTGCGTCTGCGGGGTATTTCCGTCCCTTCTTTCGGCCTTTCCTGCGTGATGGGTGCCACGAGTATCTTAGATGGCCGAACGAGGGTTCGTGCTGTATTCTGAACTCGAGCTGTCTAGATTGTCCAGGGTATGGAGGGCTAAATAGAGTCCCATTTTACCCTACTTGTTTGATGATTGAGACGTCACGATGTCCAGCTTATTCTGACATTGTCGCATCGTCCTCCTCGCTCATCTTTGTCGCGGCTGTCAAGGGCATAATAGGCGGAGTCGAACGAGTGGTAAGCTCAACGGTGTGATTTAAGGTCATCTCTTGCAGATGCGAGATGCGGACCATCCTTCCGACATTCGTTCCTCGAGCAGGGCTCGGATTTTCCTGTACACACAACCCTAAAGAGGACAATCGGTGTGTTCTGAAAGTCTTTTTCTAATGCTTCGGTCTCAGGAACCGGAAGTGTCCTGCCAATCGTAGCCGGCAAAGTGGGTTTTCATCGCCGACAGGGGCCGGGAAAGATGGTGATTGGGCCAAATGGATTCACGACGGTGCTGCAGTGTGCAGAATACAGGTGCAGATGCAGGTGCAGAGCAACGATGGGTGACTTGCGACCACAGCGTATCCGTACTTCGTACACCAGTCTCATCGTGCGGTCTGGCCGGGTGGTTTCCGCTTCTGTGTCTATCCCGTTACCCCCCTTCTACAGGGTTAAGACTGAAAACAACGAGCGTATCCAGGACTGGACTAATATCAAGGCTGGCCTCACACGGCACGGAGAATCTATCGGCAAGGGTCAACTGTGTCTTTGACACTGATATGAGCGTCTTGGCCTTCTGGCCAAGGAGATGGGCCTACTTGCGAAGCTGTCGAGGTGAACCTACGTTGCCGTGGGGTAGAGAAGCAATTCTGGACTTCTGATGCATCCGTGCCATGTAGAGAATTAATTGGGACTCGGACGTGCAATGGGTCACGTTGTTCGAGGGATAAGATCCTTGGTGCCCAGATGCGTCGTTTCAATTTCAGTCCCGTTCGGTCCCATACACAGTCATCCCAGAACGTCAGTTTGACGGGCCGCGGCAAGCATCGGAGACGAGCGAGGAGGGACCAGGGAGATAATTGCTGCCTACGTACGGAGTAGTATGTCGCGACGCTGAGGTTAGGCGAACCGTGAGAGAGGGGAGAATAACTGGGCAGAAGCGGGAGACGGAGTGGAAACCAGGCAACTCTGAGTCTCGCATCAGTCAGTGATGGATTGTCGAATCCCACTTATCCCAGTATTCGGCATGCCGGCTGGGGCTGGAGATGGTGCTGGGGTTTGGGGTCTTGGCCTTGTCTCTCGCCGCCTCGCTTGTGAAGTCGCCTCTTTTCGCTTCTGGGACTGATATCGGGCGGGATCCAGGAGGTTGGTTGCAGGAAATGACATCAACCGGGGGACGAGGATTCCGAAGCATAGGCCGATGGCCATTGCGTCGATACTCAGTACGGAGTCGGGGACGCAGTGATAAACGGGCGAACCGCATGCTGAGCTGGGCAAAGCAGTGACATGGCGATGACGGCAAAGAGGGCATCCGGAGCCCGACAAGCTTGGTGCACCAGGCCTCGGGGTCGAACGCTGCGAGGTTGGAGGTTGGCGATCGAGGTTCACGTCGAGGGGAAACGCTCCCTGCATGGACGGTGGTGGGACAAGGGAAGGAAAGGCGATGATGCGCGTAGGGCGGCTGTGAAAGCTGTCGTCCCGTTTCTTTTTGTCTCGTTATGGTGCGTTGGCCGCGACCGACGAGTGCAGGCAAGCGGAAGCCGCAAAGCCAAAGTAGGGCGATTGACAATTCGTCACATGGTGCGGTTTTGGACGTGTGGTGAGTCTGTGGTAACTATGTGAGGCTCTCTCTGCTTGTAATTGGATGGGATTGGTCTCGTTTGAAGTCGATCAAGTCCCGTCTCCGTTCCGTGCAGTAATTGTCTGTTGTTCGGATCCGGGATCAGACTAACCCGCGATAGAGAGCAGTGGCATGAGGAAGGTACTCTATCACATTTGCGACGATGATGGAAATCAAGGTTAAAGCACCAAGACGGGCATCGATGATGCTGGAGCGCACAAATCGGCCATCGTGAATGCTAATTGGAAGGTGAGGCAGCAAGTAGCAAGCAGCAGTCAATCGGCAGGTTCATCGACGTAACCCCGAG